CTCAGAAATAGAGATCTCTGATTTCTATTCAAAATGTAGTCTTGCACCCTTATTCTCCAGGTGGGAAGCTGTGGGTTTTGGTTCTTTCGTTTCGGTTTATGGAGAAGTGTAAGTGGTCTGTTAACAGACTTCTGTGGGGGATGGGGAGTCATTGCATTTATTTCATTGACCTTTGCTTCAGAAGGCCTTCAGCAGTCTTTAACAGAGGGACTCTATGAAAGGGAGTGTTATAAAGGCTTTCTTCTGTGAAAGAAGTCACACAGGCAAAGCTTTACATTTGCTGGTGATTTAATTCTTACACATGCGGAAATTAGCTGTGGGCCATGAGTAACATGACCACTGCTAGTGTAGTCTCACAACCAAACTTCCCCTTTATGTTCTATATTTTTATGTTTAAAGAAAGAGAGAAAGACTACTCTTTTCCTATTGTTTTAAAATCTTCTAAGTGAGGCTTGATATCTAAACTCAACCGCTGCTTTATGAAGTCACTCATAGTTTTGTTTTGTTTTTTCCCCTAGAGAGAGATTTTTGCTATAGTGCACACGTGCTTTCCAGAGACACAGAGAGAGACAGAAAGCAAGAAATCCCCCCTCCCCAAGGGGGGTGGCCATGCTGCAATCCCTTCTCCTCTCGGGATTGGGCAAGCAAACACACACACACACCCAGTGTGAGTTTAAGCTGCTGGGTCCAGGACTTGAACTGCAATTGACTACATGGGAGTCCAGTGATGTAACCATTATGCCATCTGCTGGTCTCTGTCACTCATGGATTTCTTTCTTTCTTTCTTTCTTTTTTTAATCAACCCCCACAGAGCAGATTCAACAGGGAGAAAGATGCTTGCCTAAATCAGTCTTTTGAGAGTCCAGAGCAGAATCATGAAAGGAAAGTCCACTTGTCGGAATAACTACTGTTTGGGAAACACCACCTTTACTTTGGTTATGGGTTATTATTATTAAGTGATTATGCATTCCAAGGTAATACCGTTTTCTCGTAGGTGGTAAATTAGGCAAACAAAGTAACTGTTTATCCTTTTATATACTATCTACAGTCTTGAGAGGAATGAGGAGCAAACATGTTTTGATTAACATTTTAAACATCTTAGAATTGGCTAATGAAGTATTGTTAGCCATTCCTTGAAAGGTACATAATGTCCTTTGAATTTTCTGATAGTACAGTGGGACTCAATTGACCAGTTTCTTCCTTGTTGAGTCATAAGATATTTCGAAACTTTGAATTTCATGGATACAGTTTTTCTTTACTAGATGTCAAGTTCTTGGGATATTCGTGTGTAAGACTGTATCTGAGTGTGGGGGAAAGATTTTTCTGTTTCACAGTTACTGAAGAAGCATCTTGGTAATATAAATTTCTATTGCATTGTTTAAAATTCATGTTCATCTTTTACACTAATTTAGAGTCAAATTTAGAGTCAAATTTGGGGGTAAGTAGCATAGTGTAGTGAGAAGATTTAGCTTTCCGTAAATAAAACCTGACGTACTGGCTATGAACAATAACTCTCACCTCTCTAAATTCCCACATTATTAAATTGAGGATTATGACCTACACCTAGTAGAATTACCTTGAGGATTAGAGAAAATATACATTTAGTAGCACAGGCCCTCTATAAAAGTAGCTCATTATCGTCTTTATAACTATTATCATTTTTGTTTCTCCTGATTTCAGATGCCTCTATTTTATATTTTCTGTAAAATTATTTGTTAGTCATGAAGTTATATAACCTAATATACTAGTTGCTTTAAATAGGACTACAGAATTTGATAGGTGATTTCTGGGACCAGCAGATGGTGTAATGGTTATGTCACTGGCTTTCATGTAGCTGACCATGGTTTGAGTCCCAGACCTTGGTCTTAAATTTAGGCCAGGTGCATGTGCGTGCCCAAGATCCTGATAGGAGACTGGAGGAGAAGGGATTGTGGCATGGCCATCCCTCTTGGGGTTGTGGTGTGAGTGATTTCTCACTTTCTGTCTCTCTGTTTCTGTCTTTGCAGAGAGCAAAAATCTTTCTTAAAAAAATTGATAAGTGATTTCTTAGTATATAAGTTTTTTTGTTGTTGTTGTTATAGACCACAGATTAGTTTGTTTAACACCCATCCATGCCACGAATTCATAGGGAATAGGTTCCAGTAGCTCAGGCTCCTTTCCATTGGTTTTCACAAAGTGTGCTTCTCTGGGTGGAGCAGGATGGCACTTTAGTTGAACCCAGGTACCTTTCTCTTTGGCTTCTTTCTTTTTCTGGTCATTTTCCTTCACACGTTTTACGAAGCTATCTCTGCTTTTAGAATGCTTAAATGTTCAATATGCACATTAATTCTCTTGGCAAGAATCTTGCCCTTCACTTGTTTGTTCACAACAATGCGAACAGATGCTGGATAACATTGTAGACTCTTCCAGTTTTGCCCTGATAACATTTGCGGGGCATTCCTTTTTGAACTGTACCCATTCCCTTAATGTCTACAATATCACCTTTCTTGTAGATTCACATATATCTTGCTAAAGGAACAACTCCATGTGTTCTAAAAGGCCTAGAGAACATATATTGGGTGCCTCTCCTCTTTTCCTTTGTGTTCGTCATTTTGGTTAATTACTGGAAGATGGCGGTTCCGGCCAAAAGGCAGTATATAAGGTTTTGAGATATGATTAAGTGTATATTATATACATGAATATATAGTATCTATTATTTACATGAACCTGGCTTTCTTTCCCTTCTGGACTGGTTTGTTCAAGTAAAGCCCTAAAAATATTCCTTAAAATGTCTTTTTAGCCTCTTTTGTCATTCTCTGAGATATTACAGAGAACTAAGATAAGTGAGAGAGAGAAATAAATTTCAATTCTAACTGTATAAAATAGGTTTTTAGGGACAGAAGGCAAAACTCTTATTATTGAGACCTGGTTGATGAACTGAGAGGCATGTCTCAAATGGTTTTAGGAGAAAATCCTTAGGCTTATATACTATAAGTAAAACACACTTGGCTGAAAGTAGCTTTACTTCCACTCTGAAAAGTTCAACCCAGAGTTCCAGTAACTCTCAAATTTAGAACATCTATTTTTATTACAGAAATAGGAGTATAGGAAATAATAGGGAGTTACTTCAGCTGATATGCGTAAGAGCTGTGTAAGTCTTAACAATTTAAGCTTGAGCCCCTGAACTAAAATTAACAACCCCACAGGGGCTCGCTGTTAGCAGAATCTCTAAAAAAGTATTTGAAAAGCAGTTCTACCTTAAATGATCTTCCATCCAATGCGACTGGTGCCAAATTCTGCCTAGATGGAATCTAAAATTTTGAGGTCCAAAATGAGCATATAAAGGAGGCTCACACTTTTGGACAAAAGGAAAAGTACTTTAGCTTTTTTGAAAATCCTAGTAATAAGTGTTGCCTTTCTTTCTATTTTATTTTATTTTTCAGAGAGATTTTTTTTTTGCTATAGGGCACATGTGCTCACAGAAGAGACAGAGACAGCGAGAACTCAGTTCCAGGGGGGACGGCCACACCGCAATACCTTCTCCATTCTCCTCTCAGGATTTTGGACATGCGCACACACACATACACCCAGTGTTAGTTTGAAGCTGCTGGGCCTGAGACTCAAACCGCTTGACTATGTGGGAGTCCAGCAACGTAACCATTACACCATCTGCTGGTCCCAGCATTGCCTTTCATTTCTTTTTCCCTCTCAGTGCTTATTCTAAAATTCAGTCTGTGTATTTATCAAGCATTTATTTATCAAGTGTTTACTAAATGCCTACAACAAACCTGGCACTATTCTAGACTGGAGGACACCAAGATTGCGAGGCTATGGCCTTACTTAGTAAGGTGTATGACATGAAAGCAGTTAGTCATGCTACACTGTCCCGTACTTGTGATGAGTCCAAAGGATAAGGAAACCGCGTGACATGGCCCTTTGTCTCAGGTCTTTCACAATCTAACTGGAACAAGGCTTGCACATATGAAAGAATGAAGAGCCAATCCCAATTAGGAAAGAAAGATCTGATGTGGAGAATGTGAAGTCAGGAAGCTAAAACGTCTCTGTGGACCAGTCAGAGTAAAATGTTGCAGAATAAAAACCTTGAAAGCTGGCAGAAAAAATTGTAAGGTGAAGAGTATGATGTAGGAATGACAACACCACAAGATATTTGGAAAGAAAATTTGATAGAAATTGGTGATATATTGGATATGAGAGAGAAATCATAAGAGTATCAGAAGAGTTGAAAATGATACCAAAGGTTTAATTTTTTAATGATTAGAAAGAGAATCATTGATGTACTGGATATCTAAGGAAAAATCTTCTGAACGGAAAAATATGGATTCCAAATTAAATATAAATATATTACTTCAGATTTTTAGTCTTTTTGGGGGGATTGAAAATTTTTATATAGATTTAATCCCGAAAGCAAGAGATCTCCACTATAGTCCTATTTACTTAACTGTGAATTCTAGCTCAGATGTCAGAACTGTGATTTAAATACATCCTAGACCCAAAGTAGAGAACCATGTCAAGTTTCTAGCATCTAAATGGATAGTTGGCATATTTCTTAAGCTTTTAATCTTCATATTATTCAACCCAAGGCTAGGGTGGATGAAGGCTAGGTGGTATTTCTTCTCCTCAGACTGGGAATGATGCTGATGGAACTGTGAAATGATACAGGATGAGAGGTGGCAATGACGCAAGTTCAGGGTCCCAGTGCTTGGTAAACAAAGATTTCTAAGCACTGGGAACTTGTGTTTTCCATGGATCCTTTATCATTTATGTTAAATTACCCGTGTACAGAGGATTAGATCATCATACATAATTAATATTAGTACTATGTTAACTGACTTATAGTCATGAAGTTTTGCAACTTTCAATTCAAAATAAAAATGACTCAATATGTCTAGCAACTAGAATCTCACTGAGACTGCAATGTTAAGATAATCTATAATGAGATGTTGGCAATAAAACTTTCAAACCGATTTACGTTTCTTCATTGTCTTTGCTTTTATTTACAGTTCTGGGAAATGCCAGTGCAAAGTGGGCGTCACCGGCTCGAAGTGTGACCGATGCCAAGATGGATATTATGGCTTTAGTAGGAATGGCTGCTTGCCCTGCCGATGCAATAATCGATCTGCCAGTTGTGATGCACTCACAGGTACATACCGTCTTCAAATTTTGTCATGTGATTATTCCATTGTTCTTTTAATCCGGGCGACTTTCAGCTCTAGGTTCATTCTTTCCAAATACTTTATAAAGGATTTCCCTCTCCTTTTGTTCATTTATTTATTTAAAAAACACTTTTTTTTAGAAATTTTTACTTTGGGCATGTGGGCTTGTCGGGAGGAGGGAGAGAGAGAAACAGAGACAACGAGAGGGAAAGTGAGAAATCACCACCTCCTTAGGAGGAATGGCCACACCTCAATCCCTTCTCCTCCATTTTCCTCCTGGGATTTTGGACATACACCCACATGCACCCAGTATGAGTCTCAAGCTGCTGGGTCTGGGACTTGAACTGCAGTGGGCCATGAGGGAGGCCAGGGACACAACTGCTGTGTCATCTGTCGGCCCCAAGGTCTTTCTCCTCTAAGTGGGATATAAATCATAGCAATCCTAATTCCTGCTACAACAACTTGGAAAAAATGCATACTTTTCAAGGATCTTTTTGGTTAGAGAGTTCTGTAAGCTAGGAAAACTACATGAATTAAAATTTGGGAAAGGATCTAACTCTTTCTAGGTAAGGTGATGGCCACCAGCCATTGTTTCTGCTGCTCCACAGCAGCCGAGCCAGTCTCCCTAGATCTTTTACAGTACCAGGCACTGCCTCTCCTCACTTCCAATTGTTCTTGCGGCAATGAGGCCGCTCGCTGTCTTACAAGCTGACCTGTCCTTGCTCTGGAGATGATTTAAGCTCAAAGAAATTCTCATGGTTATGAATTCTAAACACATCTAGGAAGGAGAGAAATGAATGATTTCTCTCTTTGGAAGTGTAATAAAAATGGAATCTGACTTGAAAGAGTGCCAATACTTTAAAACTGCAAGTTTATATAAGACCTGTCTTTCCTTTTTATCTCAAATGAGATTTTTTTTTTTTTTTGAGCAGCGCTGTGATACGAATGCCCTCTGGTGGCCACTTACTATTAATACTTTTTCACAGTCATTTTCTCCCCTCCAGTCTTTCTGTGTACCTGCTCTTCTCCTAGTGCTTTTCATTTTGGTGACAGGCACTATTTACTCAGTTGCTCAGTTCCAAAGCCTAGCAGTCATTCATGGATGCCCTCTTTTTCTTACTGCAAATAGCCATTCTGTCAGCAGCTTCTATCAGGCCTGTCTTCAAAACACTCCGGACCTGACCGCTGCTCCTGACCTTTGTTGCATCATCCTTTCCCAAGCCACTGTCACCTCTTTGAACTACTTTGGCACGCTTTCATCTGGTCTCTGCACCTCCTGTCTTATCTCCCCACCCCCTGACCCCTATCCATCACTGTCCAGTCTTCATTAACAACTAAAGCAGTCTGTTTAAAATGTAAAACCAGATTATGTTATTCCCATAGTTAAGCCCTCCAGTGACTTCCCATTCCCCTCAGTAAAGTTCAAGGGCACACATCGTGGTTGAGGCAGCTGGATCCCACATGGCTGACTGTGTAGTTCAAGTCCTGGACCCAACAGCTTGAAAAACATGCCAGATGCCATGTGAGCATGGCCAAAATCCCGAAAGGAAGGAGAAATAGAGAAGAGGTTGTGCATGACCGTCCTGTAAGTGGGGTGTGTGTGTGGGGGGGCTTGCTTTCTCACTTTCTCTCTCTCTGACACGTGCCCAAGTACATGTGCCCTCTGAGAAAAATTTTAAAAATAATAATAAAGGACAAACTTCTTTCCATGGCCTATGTGATTTCACATGTTTGGCCTTTCTTTCTCTTTGCCCCTTATTTGCTTAGGCTCCATGTTGGCCTTTTTTCACTTGTCAGCTTTAAGTTTGTTTTCTGTTCTACAGAAAGGATCAGGCATTCCTTCCTACAGCAAAGTATACTGCTGACCAGTTTATATAAAAGCTATGGAATGACAAAGTAAATAGGGAAATAAGGAAAACACTTTTTACAGGTGACTAGTTATGTTTTCAGTGTTATCCTTGAATTTGATTGGAAAGGAGCCCTACATTCCTTTCTTTGACCAGTTATTTTCTTTTTACCCCTACAAGATTTTTGAGATGCTTAGCCACAGAATATAAAATTGTCTTCAGGAAACATTCAGTCTTTCTTTTTTTTTTCTTGCTGCTCCATACTTTAGGCATCTTTCAGCAGAAAATGTGAATTTTTTTAAAGAATTACTTATTTTAATTTTATTTATTATTATTTTTTAGAGAGTTCTTTTGCTATAGGGTGCATGCACAAGCCAGAGAGACAGAAAGAGACAGAGAGACAGAAAGCAAGAAGTCACCCCTCCCAAGGTAGATGGCTGCATTGCAGTACCCTCTCCTCTGTTCTCCTCCTGGGGTCTTGGGCATGCATGCACACATGCCCAGTGTGAGTTTTAAGCCACCAGGTCCGGGACTCGAACCAAGGTTGACAATATGGGAGTCCAGCAACATAGTCATTATGTCATTTGCTGATCCTAATTTTATTTATTATTATTATTATTTAATTTACTATAGGGCACATGTACTCACCAGAGACAGAGAGAGAGGAAAAAAAAAAGCAAGTCACCATGTCTGGGACTCAAAATATGGTCAATTCATGGGGAGTCCATCACCCTAGCCACCATGCTACTTACCTGTCATCCTCGAGAATGTGAATTTTAAATCAGTGTTATATTTTGGGGGTTCCAGGTATATATATATTATTTATCTTAAAAGAAAGATCTCAATTTTAGGGACCAGCAGTTAGCGTAATGGCTATGTCACTGGACTCCCACGTAGTCGACCACGGTTCACGTCCTGGACCCGGTGGCTTAAACAACTTGAAAATTAGAGGGAGGACAGATGAGTTCTATTCTTAGAGTTGCTTTCATTTTCTACTTTTGAGGTAGCTTATTTAGCATGTAGGGTTATTATTATTTTTTTCTCGTTAATTTCTCATTGCAGGGTATAACATAAAACAAACTGAGATAAAAATTATTCTGGAAAAAATTTTAACT